TTTCTGTTTTTTATATTTCTCTGTAAAAACTGTGAACAGTTTCTATGGTCTTCGATATGCTAGTTTTACTTCTACAAGGATGAAATTAGCAAAGGTTTCTTCAAATGTTTAATGATTTTTTATAGTATAATTTGTTAAAAAGGTTTATTGATGATCTCTAGAACATGAACGGTTCAAATTTTTAGAATAGTAATTTTTTGTGTACCCGCATCCAAGTTTAGGCGAAACTAACGATTATAACCGACTATTATGATGATTTTTTGACTATTATAATTGATTATAATTACCAAAACTGTATGTTGAAAAGATCTATAATTGATTATAATCGTGATATTTTCCAAGAGATTATAATCTCTTATAATCGATTATAATAGATTATAGTTGATACAAAAAACTCTTAAAATCATTTATAATCGATTGAAATTGATTATAATCTCTTATTTTGCCAAAAATTGTCAATTCAAAACTATATTCGAATTATATCTCATGGGTTACTATTTTTGTGTCAATAACAAAATCTCTAAAAATCTCTCTGAACACAAAGTTTTACCACGAAACAAAAGTTTCAAAGAGATCCTTTCTTTTTTTATTAGTGGAAAGATTCCCGCGGTAGATGAAAAACAAATTTTTTGAATCAATCATGAAACTAAATCATTTTGCTGAATATTTGGTGGTTAAAAAAGCTAAAATATGCATCTCAAAACAACTCTAATAGAGAAGAAATGGGAAAAGAAACCCTAACTGGAATTGATAGGAAAACTTTAGAAACATTTATCTCTTTTTTCATAGGAACCAACATCTACAAAAAGCATAAAGTATAAGCAAATTAGATGCAATTTCGAAGACAAAATGGACAAACAACAGGGATTATAATCAATTATAATCGATTATAATGGATTTTTGTACAAAACTAGGGATTTACAAATTTGAATAAAAATATTGAATTATAATCAATTATAATTGATTATAATTGTATCGAAAAATAGACGAAGAATTAACCGATTATAATCGATGATAATGGATTATAATTAATTATAATTTGATATTGAAAAGAGAGATTATAATCGATGATTAATTGATTAAAATCGATTGTTTCTCAATTTTAGTAAGACTGGTACTAAAATTGTAATATAATCGATTATTAACGCTTGAAACTGGATGCGGGTACATACTTTTCGAATATTATTTGCTGTAGTTGTTGCCACTTCCGTGAATTGGATTTGGTATTAAGGTTTTTGTTTATTTTGGTGTTCTGGATCTCTTGCTGTTACAGTTCAGATAACAATTGGAAATTCATGCTGACTAATTATTGTTTCTGTCATAGTATTGTGATGCTTGGGATCTCTTTGTTCATCGTAACTTTTTTTGAAGTGTTTTTCATGCAAAATTACTATTTTTGCTATGGTGATTGGCTAATATTTGATCTTTTTGTTTGAAAGAAACCTCATTCATCATTCGTTTTTATTTGGCTTGGTTGATTAATTTGTGCGTACCTTTTTCAATAATGATATCTTTTTTTTTGCATTTTGAATTTATTTTGCTAATTATGTATATATGCATAATTTTGCTAAATTATGTATATTCTTTTCTTCTGTTATAGGTTAGGAAATATCTTCTTGCTTTTGATTTTTAATGAGTTGTTTTTGTTTTTTAATTGGGATTTGTGGGGTGAGGTTTGCATAACTTGTTGTATCTTTAAACTATATGTACTTTCCAGCAAAATAGTGATTTTTGCTTTTGTTTGTAGTTGAACAAAATTTCCGACATACAAATTTGGTTTTCCTATTGAAGAAGGATTTGAGGCTGTCTTTTTAGTTTATTGCTTTTTGTTCCGACTTTCGATACGAAAGTAACGGACTATTTGTGCTCGGGGTGGGTTTTTTTTCTTCAGACAAATTTAGACTTTTTAATTAGCCATTTTTGACCAAATTTTTTAATATCATTCGAAAGGTATTGTTGTCCTGAGCTCAAATTTGAAAAGATATTTTACCTGTGATCATTTTTCGTAAAGTTACGGGGGTTTAAAGATTGCCATTTTGGCCAATTTGGGACAATTAACGAGCGATATATTTCGCGCTATTACTGCGTAAGCGGAGACTTAATCCGTCTTAGAAATTGTTCCAAATTGGTTAAAAGAAGCATATTTGCCATAATTGGTTTGTTACAAGGAGCGAAATTTATCCTTTTGTACTTTATATGGCATGTGGGGGGATGAAAAAATTTCATAAAAAGTTTCAAATTTTGGAAAAAAAATTTTTCATTTTGTTTTATTTCATTGAATTTTTTAATGCTGTTACTGCTCCATAAACCTTAAAAGGCAGTCGGAACATTCAGGGCTTCGCCCTGATACGAGCAGTCTTGTTAACTTATGAAATTGATGTCATAATTAGAATTTCTAACACTTCCTTTTTTAAGCACGAGTTTGAATGTTTTTTTTCTAAGGAAAGAATGGAGCACCTTTTTGCTCTGCGTTTTCTAGAGTGGTTTATTTCAAAATTGTTTCTTGTGTGTTGTCATGTTTGATGAAGTAGTTTTGTATTTAAATCAGTTATTACTTCAAATATAACTTACTGTTACTGCGTTCAAGTGGTCATCTACTGTGTAACAGGGTTCTGCACAAGCGAAAACTGTTTCTGGTTTGTTTGATGCTACAGGTTTTCCAACCATAAAGTATGAGCTAACTGTTGTTGGTAATGAATCTGTTTTGAGTAGATGTGTATATGTTGCTTGTTTTTGTTTTCTTGTATATAACTTTTGTAGTCATTTTTTGTTGCAATCATATTCTTGGTAGTTTTGCTACTTTCAGTTTTTGGTTTCAGTTGAAGCGGTATTTCATCGGCATCTGAAATTTTTTAAGTCCTCTGAAATTTTTTAAAATTAAATCATAATTTTATAAATTTCTATTAGTTTTATTTAAAACAAGAGTTTTTTAATTATTTATTTTCAATGGTCTTTTTTATCTACTTTGTTGCACTGCATTGTATCTTTGCGTTTTTCTCTTGTTATCAATGTTTTATTGTAGCATTTGTTCTTTTTTGCTGCAATTGAGCTGACAAGAATCTGTTTTTGCTTGTGGCTTCGGGTCTTGACTGTTGAAGAATTCAGTTTTTGTTAGTTTTGAAATTGATTTTTTAAATTATATTTTGTAAATTTTGCTGTGGATACGCTACTTCCATTATTTATTTCCAAATGAAACATCAGTGGTTTTTAGTGTCTTTTTGTCAGATACTTTGACACTTCGAACTTTAAATCATTTGTCTAAATTCTAATTGTCTGATCTTTTTGAATTCTTTTTATACTTTTTCTCGCCAGATATGATGATTTTGACTGAGTACATCTTTTTTGTCACGCCAACCTTTTAAACTCGGTTAGGCTCGGGCAGCTACTTATTCCGATATTAGGTCCAATCGTATTCTTACTCCTAATTCTTCAGTCGCTTAGATCTCCAGAAAAAAACAAAAAGCTAAAAAGATTAGGAGATCAACTTACATTTGAATTGGTTCAAACTTGTCTACTTTTAAAATAAGTAACCTAACAATATAAATTAATATTAATTAAAATATAAGCGTCATTTAACAAATCGGTAGCTGAGAAACAACGAATTTTAATATAAAAGGAAACTCCGATAGGTGGTTTTTTATTTTACCCCGATGACTGGCTTTACCAATCAGGATGTCTTGAGCATGTTATATAGCCGGCCTTATCCACTTTACTACAAGCACTTTAAAACAACCAATTTTTAAGGGTTAGCTTCAATGTGGGAAAATCTTCAATAATATTCAACTATTGGTTGTCTTTTGCTATACTCAAACTATTCTTAACCTCTACGCTATAACAAGCTATATTTTATCTTAATGTGAATGTTTTCCGTCAAAATTTGTGACTACAAAGACGAAATGAGATTCAAAGCATGGGTCACAATCTCGTAATTTCTTTTTGTCACGAAATACCGAATAACAAAATACAATATGGCAAAAACAGTGAGTAGAAACGCCTTTGAAGAGAACAATATCGTACCAAACGCCTCGTAAGAAACATGATCTCTAATCCAAAACTATCCTATGAGTTATGGATCCCGATCCTCTCAGGAGCAGTGTTGTTTCTTAGAAATAAAAAAAAACCAATTAGCTGTTTCAGAGGCATAAAAACCACACTTTAAATTTAGGTGAAATTTCTCAAAGATTTCGAATTTGAAGCGCGCGTCACTATCCTTTTCTTGATTTGAAAACAATTCCCTAACAAGACTGCTCGTATCAGGGCGAAGCCCTGAATGTTCCGACTGCCTTTTAAGGTTTATGGAGAAGTAATAACATTAAAAAATTCAATGAAATAAAACAAAATGAAATATTTTTTCTAAAATGTGAAATTTTTCTATGAAAATCATCCCCCACACGCCATATAAAGTACAAAAGGATAGATTTTGCTCCTTGTAACAAACCAATTAGGGCAATTAAGCTTCTTTTAACCAATTTGGAACGATTCCTAAGACGGATTAACTCTCCGCTTACGCGTTATTAGCGCGAAATATATCGCGCGTTAATTGTCCCAAATTGGCAATCTTTAAAACCTTGTAACTTTACGAACAATAATCACAGGTGAAACATCTTTTCAAATTTGAGCTCAAGACAACAATACCTTTCGAATGATATTAAAAATTCTGTCAAAAATGGCTAGTTAAAAAGTCGAAATTTGTCTGAAGAAAAAAAAACCCACCCCGAGCACAAATATTCCGTTACTTTCGTATCGAAAGTCGGAACAATAATGATTGTTTTGATTAAAAAAATGAATGCCGAGAAGACGCATGTCATTCGTCTTAGTCAAAATCAGATAAGTTAAAATTAGACATTAACTCGAATTGATTTTTTTTTTATAAGTTCGACACAAACGATCATTTTGATCAAACAAATTGAAAAAAAAACATGCGTAGGAGACACACGTCGTTTCTCTCAAATAACGTTATATCAGTTAATTTGAAATTTGGTTTTAATCTAAATACGTACCTGCTGCAAAAACAGCAACCAGCAAAGCAGTAATCGCCCAACATAGAACCATTCGCACTTTCCTACTCATAATCTGCTTGGCATATGTCGGCCAGCAGACTGCTATGTATCTGTCCACGGCCAAAACTAACACACAAGGCGCTGTAGCATACTAGAATAAAAAAAGGAAAACATAATACTTAAAAAACAAAATGTCAGTATTTGAATGGACAAAAAAGTACACTTTTAAAAAGTAGGCAATATAAAAAAAACTAGGCAACCTCAAAAAATTTGAAAAAATATATTGCGTTTCGAATTAAAATACCCGGGTTTAAGTTGCCTGGAAATTCAGAAATATATCATATATCTTTCAATTATTTGCATCCTTGTATAATTCAATTAACTGGTTTTCAATTAATTGTTGCACATTTTTCACAATTTTGCGCAAAGCATAATCTTTGTGTTGATCTCTTCAAAAATTTGAGTAAGGACTCTCGCGGTATGAAAGAGTCAACAATGAAACTCATTTATACGTGTGCATATATTTGGATAAGTGTTTTTTTTTTATTTTTATCAAAATAATTCCGCTCAAAACCCCGAATTCTAGCATGCATGACACGGACAAAGAACTTGTAACTTTTTATTTTCAACAAGCAAACGAATGAAATTTTTCTTCACGTTTTGCTGTTTTCTCTGCACCTATTTTTTATACAGGATTTAATTTTTGACACATATCAGTTAAAACTACTTGGAAGGACTCAGCAGGGCCAAACTGGAGAAGTGGCAGGCATAAATTAACGAGTATATCATAATTAGTTTGTGTCGATGCTGTGGAGCATTCTTGCAAACATTGTACAAGAAATGAATTTTAGGGCTAAATTTTTTGGGGAACCGATGAGCTCTAGTTACTATTTATACCGCCAAAAAATGAGAGGCAATTGAATTGAAAAAAATATACCTGATCCAGCTTCAGAAAACTGGATCGAAATGAGCCAATAAAAGAAATTCTATTTCAATTTTTTCGATGTTAATGTTCCAATCCATGCAGAATGTTTTTCTTAGCAGTTATGTTGTCTCTAAGTTCTGTCCAATTTTCTGGCAAAAGATCCCAAGAACTTTAGATGCCCAGGTCGTTAAAAGGGATATGACGTTTTTGGCAGCCGGACTAAATAACCTTTTTGATTTTTTTATTTGTCAATTTTCGGTAGCAAAAATAGTACGTCGAGCTCATCAATTCCCAAAAAAAAACAATTTAAACCCAAAGCGAAAAATTTGAGAAAAGATTTTACCTGAGCAAAGAGAACGCGAAAGAAATTGCATGCGCATTCCACATATAAGTTTTTGAAGTAGTACTGTCGAATAGCTTCCACAATCTTGCCCTTTCAGCAATGGACTTTTGCATCTTAGGAAACCAGCAATGAAGTGTTTTTTGGATTTTAACTTACTATTCAATCCTAGATATCATGGATGTTTTACAGCTAGACATATAAATTAAGTAGAATATTCTCCAAAATATATATCAATTTGCAAGTTCAAATGTTTGTTCGGAATGTATAGATTGTACTCATATAGTTTGGAATGAAAAATAGTTGAGCATTTAAAAGTATGAAAAAAATTTAAAATGGGCCTTCGTGGCTTGATGGTGTTTTGCCAAATGAAGCAAATTTGTTTAAGTAATTTCACAGAAATAATTTTGAATACAGATATCGTTTAAAACTATTTTATTAGAATTTTAGATCTGATATATTTTTTTTCATGGCTGTTCAAGTCTGAAAAACTTTAGTGGCAAGTTATGTTTTAAATGAGAAATCAAAAAGAGAGTTTTGAAAAATGAAAAAAAAAAGAAATATTAATATGTTTAAAAAAAATAAATTTAAAAAGGTTGTAGGTAATAATATTTTCCGGAAGAAAAAAATCAAAATTTATCTTGAAAAATTTACAGGGTACGGGATTTACAGGGTCATTTTTATGTCAAAGTTTAATTGCAATTATTTTTCGTACAGAAAGTAAACGTTTTTGTTGCTGTCGCTTAATGTTGATTCTTTTTTTGAGCCAATAAATATTTAAATGCAGAAGCCCGCCTGGAAAGCATAGTTTTGAGTGTCATGATTTATTGCAATTGTAGCAAACAGGAACTCCGTAACTGGTGGAACGATGCCGCTTCCAAAAATGTCGATGAAAGAATTCAAAGCTAATGGGTAGTACTCTAGACGTCGGAACTGTGATACGAACAAAAACAGACCAACGATGTATGAGTTGAGAACCAGAGAAAGCAGGCCAGTGATTGACTAAAACACAAAAACCTTTTTTAAATTTGGTTGAGGTCTTGTCTGTTAAAATTTGATGCTGCTCAAATCATACTGCTCAAATCTGATTAGTTCAAAATAATTCCAGCGAATGAAATCCGGATTTTTATGAAAAACAGCAGCTCATATACACATTTGGTTCTTTTGTGCCGCATAACAGAAAAGAATTTTTGGTTGGACTATTTTTTATCATTAGAAATGCTTCAAACTATTAGGTGCAAGACATCAATTTTGAAACCGTTTCTTGAAATAATTAAACCGTATTTTTAGAACCAACTTTTTAAAAATCATTTTGTATAAGGTTATGCATCTTACAAGAATACAAACACTAAAAAAATCGATCCAAACATTTAATTTTCTGGTCCAGTTCACTGATATAAACTTTTCTCATTTACTGATCTAAATATTCACAAAAAGGTGAACCAAAATTGCTTTACTAATACACTGGCTCATAGCATTTCAAATTAAAATCTCACACCTGCAAGCATTTCAAACTAAAACGGTAGTTTACCGGATGGAAACTCATTATTATGAAGCCTAATTTAAAAAGCTTTGAAACTTCTCAAAGTACCAGAAAAAGAGTACACTTATTTATTTTGAATAAGTTTTGAGCTGAGAAGACGAAGGCAGTCATCAGTCTTGGCATTTAATTAGAGAAAAAACTATTTAGTTGCTTCTTTTGATTTATTTTTAGATCCCGAATTTTATCACTGATTTTTAGGAACCGATTTTGTGTAAAACTGACTCTGTAAAAACTGCTCAGCATTCTTAGATTGTTTTCTGAAAATTCAAGGCAGCCCGTTTTTTGTTATTCATAATCTCTTATTTCTGACAAGTAATACTCTAGTTTAATAGGGCGAGGGATTTTCATCCTCTCGCTCAAATGAAGCAAACATGGATAGCGAGTTTATGTACCGAGAGCAAGCAAAGTCTGCCATTGTTATTGAAACTTCAAAAAGCATAAAAATTAAAATAAAGTTCGATTTCGCTTCAAAGGTCTTGTCGTTTCTTGTGATATAACATTTGGATGTTTGGGGGTTTTGGGGAATGGGTTAAGTTAGCATCCTGGACGATTCTTTTATGCTTAGTTTTTTTACACGGCAGATTTGTTTAAAAAAACAGTTCAGACACTGAATTGAGTTTAAGCACTAGGTAGCTTTCTCATAGAGTAATTTCAGATGAGGTACACCGTCTGTTTGTCACGCTATCTTATTTTCGGCCGGATAGATTCGTGCAACTTCTTAGTCTAATACCAATCTTAATCTTACTCTTATATCTCCTAGTCTCAATAGATCTAGTATATACTGGTATTTGCGGGTTATGGAACAACTGTCTTCTAAGATTTATTCAAAATGTTTTCGTGCTGAAGCTACAAGTAGTTTTAGCACTACAAATAATTGTCAGTGTTAGTTATGAAATATGATTGGTTAGTTAGTAATATTTTATGGCGATAGTTTTATCAATAATATAATTGCTTATAAATACTAGTTTAGAACTTGATCCTGAATAGTGAAAATGAAGCCATAGTGAGTGTGCGACTACGACTCAATTTTATCACATCACTCTTCTCTCTAAACTGCAAAATTTTTACACAATATTTTGGTCTTGGGAGTTCTTCAATACAAATTGGAGCACGGCTCACATGATGTTTGATGATAATTTACCCGACATCCGAGTTTTTGTTGTGATAGCTGATTTGACCAGTAAAACTCATCCATTTAAGTTGCTGGCGCTAAATTTGGTGCCTTATGAAAATGTGGATGCAGAAGCAACTAAGAAGTTAACACCAATACAAGCCAAATTGCACTGGATAGGCGCACAATTTTGAGCTTGTATTTTCTTGGATTCCAAGGACAAGTCTTCAAATTTGTTAAATTTTTTCGCGAAATCAATAAAAGATCTGACAGATGTTTAAATTTCTTGATCTTACCATAACAATCAAGTTTGCCAGTTTGATCTTCCAATATGCTTGCGTATAAGTCCAAAAGCCAACCGAGATAATCGAGAACAAGTTAAACGGTCTTGAGGTTGTCCTCGCTGTCGTCATGTCCAAATCACCACCATCGTCACTCCAGTTTCCAAATACTGAGATATTGCTCATGATTATAAAATATGGTAGATTGCCTGAAACTTTGAATCCAATTGTAGGCCCTAAAAAAACTAAAAATTACGATACACATGAGAAACTACAAAAAATGGGAAAAATTGGTAAATGTGCGAACAATGCTCAGATTCCGATCAAAAACCTTTATGATAAGCACTGAAACTAAATTACGACATATAATTAATTATTAATAGCTTAAATAGGTATAAAAACTAAATAATTATCCAGCAGCGGATTTAGGGGGAGGGGGGTTGGGGAGTTATGGTGGGAATAAAGCTTGTCTTCCCTTAAGAACTTGACCCTGCCAACCCACCCAAAGGGTCCTTTCTTCGGTACTAATTTAAGACATCAATACTTGGCTGTCCCTATCTTTGGAATAATACTCCCTCCCAATAAATACTAACTTTGAGGGGAGCGCGCGCCAATAAAAACGCAATTTTTTGGCCAACACTTTCCAAAAAATCTGTAAAAACACCTTTTGTTTGGTTGTCTCAGAAAATTTGGTCAGAATAAGGCCTCATTGTGATTTAGGAGAGCTAAAAACATTCAATTTGGTCAAAGTAAAACGAAAAAAGGCCAGCAAAGTTTTCGAATTTTCTTCGAAAACCCTACAACACCTCAAGAAAACTTAGATCCACTCCTGTTCTGAAACTTTAGAAACTATTTTGCGAGTAAAGCGTATATCGTGATATTTCGGTCGAAAACAAATTTTCTGAAAGAAATGATTCAGACCACACTATTTCGACACTTAAGAAATGTTTCAACAGTACTTAAATATGATAACATTTTCAATTTAGAGCAATTTTTTTTAGAATGCTCCAATTTTTTAGAATGCTCTAATTTATCGCAAACAAGGATAACCGGATGCTGTGCAAGTACCACAGAGTGTTTTATGTCATAGTTACTTCTTAAAAAACTACAAAAAACGGAATGAAAAATATTTTTTCCAAAGCGGAATAAGCTAGTTGAACTACATTTCTCGTTCGCTTATGATCGCTCAAAATGAGGGTAAAAGCAAAATTTTTATACCGAGACTTCTCAAATCTATGCATTTTCTCCCTAATTTTAAGATCTTCTGACTCGCAGCTATAACATGATAATGACCCGACCCTGCTTACATTCTTATTTGCGTGTAAATCAATTATTGAAACGTGAAATAACACTAAAACTAACCCGAAGAAGAACTCTTTTGCATTTTTGTTGATCAAAAAAAAAGTTGCACCGGAACGAGTACAAAGTTTTACACAACGCTTATTCTTTTTCAAAACTTGGTAAGGAGTTTTTCATAATGAAAAATCATAATAACAGTCTGTTATTTATCATAGCAGCCTGTTTATTAATTTACCGTCTGTTATTGTATAGGCTGTTATATTGAATTGTTAACAAAAAACTATCCGAGAGAACCAAATGGCGTGCAAATAGCATAGATGTTTAACACCACAGTCAAGAGGAAAAACATCACACAAAAAAAACTTTAAAAACTCAGACAAAATTCAAATTTTATACCGAACATTTTTTAGATAGATATTTTAAGATAGATAGAAAGATAGATCGATGGATAGATAGATAGATAGATAGATAGATAGATAGATAGATAGATAGATAGATAGATAGATAGATAGATAGATAGATAGATAGATAGATAGATAGATAGATAGATAGATAGATAGATAGATAGATAGATTAGATAAAATCAGATGGTTGTTATAACCAGACTAAGGCTGAGATTTAAAAAATTGCGCTTAACACAGCGTTGCTATAAACAGTTTGTTAAAAATTTGTGACAAGGGCAAAGCGCTCTGTTTCTCTCTTGATCATTTTTTGATGAGAAAAGCAAACCTGTTACAATTTTCAATACAAAACCGGCTGTAGAGGAAAAAGAGTTCTCAGGAGAGGTGATACATCTGAAATCTTGAATTTGCAACTGTAATGATGTGAGAAGATATTTGAATTCTGTTATCGACAATATGCTGATTTATTGGGACCAAATTGTTTGAATTAGCATTTCCCGTCGAAATCAAAAACCTTTTTTTACTTTTAAATTCAATGGAAATCGTTTTTAGTGAGCATATTCTACCAAGTTGTCTCCAGAATGCTGATTGCTGCATTAATCATGTATTTGGGTTTCTTCCAATATTCAGGATCATTGATTATAGAGGAACTTTTCATTTAATTGAAAAAAAAATTGGCAAACCCGCTTATATCAAAATCGGCAAACCCGCTTATATCGGCAAACCCGCTTATCATTACACTGAAATTATTTAAAAACCCAATATTAATTGCGGAACAATTAATTGGGAACAATTGATGAAAATGAAAATATTTCGCATGCAATGCTTCATTTGAAACAAAAGATATACAATACCTATTTAAGAAAATCATTTTTTCAACAAAAGTTGTAGCACTACTTTGAGTGAATTTTGTCCCGAGTTTTCCAAATCCCACACAAATTCAGAGTATAATATTGAGAGGAACTTAAGATACAAACTGAAAAAATGAAAAAAACCTTGACTTTGGGAGTGCTTTACTTTATGTTTTTGCTTTCTAGGCAAAATCAGTTACCATGAAAGGTCAACAGCATGAGTAAAATGATAGAACATACTGAAGTTCCGTTAGTTTTAACAAAAAAACCCAGTTTCGAGACAAACTGGCTCAACTTTTTTGAGCAGGTAAAGCGAGCAATTAGGTCTTTTAATATAAAAATTTAAAAGAAAAATTTACTTTCACTTCATTACATTTTTTAAGAAGGGCTTTTTCTAATGCATCTTTGGCAAAAAATGAAGAAAATAACTGCAGAAGAAAAACTTTGATTTATTTTTTTAAAATTTTTTTGTTCAGTTTTTTGAGACAATTGTTCTCGTTTATGTCTAACTCATTTTGTGTTCGTATAGTTCGATCATCATACCAAACACGGAAAACCGCATCAATTTGAAAGAAACAATTTTATGAATGTTATCGGAATGTTCTTTGCTGATATGGCTGTAAAAAACTCAGAATGGGATATACGAAAGTACTGGGAGGTGTTGATTAAGCCCCTACGTTAATCTCCAATTTTATCAATGGCTCAATTCAGGCAATTTAAACTGCCTTTTTCATTATTCTTTTTCTTGAGAAATTTGTATTAAGAAATGAAAATTAAGAAAATTTGTTAAAAAAAAACGCTCACTCTTTGGAAACCTTCGAGTAGGAAAAGAATGAAACAAACGTACAACTACAGATTCCGCATAAATTAAAATAACAATGATATAATACTAATTAAATCAATGGTTATAATAACAAGAACAGTCCTAGCAAAAAAAAACTTCAACCAAACTCAACGAAAATTTTATAAAAAAAACTTTAAAAAAAAAACTTGCATACAATGAACTCGGCGATGGCCTATAGTGCGCGGCCGTTCTAGTTACTATTGTCAATTTTGAATGATTATATTATTCTCAATGTTTTGATTTATGCGGTAACTGTTTTGTCTACTCTTGTTTTGCATTTTTTCCAATCAAAAATTACACGAACGCAAGCGTTTTTTTTGCAATAAAATTTCCGTTAACTTCGCTTCTTCAAAAACAAAACTTCTCAAGAAAAAGAGCGATAAAAATGGGTCGAAATAACCTGAATGGAGCCATTGATGAAGTTGGATATGAACTCCAGTGGCAAAAACTCTCTACCAAAAACAACGAAAACTTAGACTTTTTAAAAGTTTGAAAGATAAGCTTCCTGATTTTATAACCAGTCAATTTTTGGTGTTTAAACTCCACAAATCAAGGTAACTATCCCATAAAAACATAAGTTTAGGATATCATTTTTTTTCGTTTTAACTACACAATTCAAAGCAACTATGTAGTAAAACATTTTTAAAACTTAGGCTGAAGAAAGGACACCATTCTAAGATCAAATAAAACTTTGACTTCATCCCACCCACCATTTATGAGCATCATTCAGAGTGGTTATTTAAGATTGATTATGAAAATTACTAAATATTTTTGCAATGCCCAATAAATTCATCAAAGGCCACTTTTATTACAATCGGAAAATATGATAAAAATATTTTTAATAAAAGGTGGAAATAAACATAGCTAAATAGTTTCAGATCAAAATGATAAATTGTTTGAAAAAAAAATCCTTTTTCTTCAACTTTTATTTTTACCATCACCCCCCAATCACACACACGCTATGCGCTCAAACACAAAGGGTTATATTTAGTTTCTCATGTTCTAAAAATAAGATCAAAGAACTTGATTTACGAACACGTTTTTAAACCCTCCATAACTGTAGAAAAAATGATCATAGGTATTTTAAAAAGTATTTGAGGTCCGGACAACAATATTTTTCATAGGTATGCAAATTTTTCACAAAAAACGAAAAATATTGAGCTGAAGAAACGAAAACTGACGGAATAAAAAACCACTGCCGGCATAAAAATTTGGTGAACATTTTCCAACATTGGAACAAAGAAAAAACGAAAAATAATCGAAAGAGCCGGAAAAAACCCTACTTCCAGCTTTAAAATTGAACACATTTTGGAAGAGAGTGGTAAATTACATAGTGAAACTTTGTTAGCCTTGTTGCTACCAAAATTTGAACGTAATTACTCGCTATATTTTAACAGAAAGGAAAGACAACCTAAATTGGATTCTTTTCCCTTTTCCCGCACATGTGAATTTCATATGAGAAATTAAATTTACCTTGCCATTATGTAATGCAGTTTTGCATGGTGAGCTAACTAATTCTTGCGAAACAGTTTTTTCTTCATACCGTACATCGTAACATTATGCATCCCGACATAATAACACGTAAGACAACCGAGAAAATGGAACATTTATATGTGAGTGGGGGTGGAAAAGAGCTTTAAATGAAATTTAGATATCGTTTTTGAGCAAAGACCAATGAAAGGTTGAGAAAATTGAGTTCGAATATTTGGTTGCAAAAGTCTGAAATTAAGTCGCAAAAGTCTGGAAAAATTATGCCCAGACTTTAGAGACTATAATAATCACAAACATTTTGACACAAAGTCGTATAGTCTGGAAAGTTTAGGTTGAGACTATCGCGACCCATGGCGGGGCTTTCGCGACAGTGTATTCAAATTTTCCGGCCGAAACTTTCAAAGTCTAAGCGTGAGTCTGGGATCTAAGATTCAAAGAAGAAAATAATTCACTATCATTTAAAAAACAACAACTGTTTATTGAGATTAAGTTGCGGCTCTTTTCCCTTTTCCCCGATGTTACTTAACTTCTATTTTTGGCTCCTTTCCAGTTTCCCCCTTTGAACCTACGAGTTTAATGTTTATTTTACGCGTTCATTTATGTGTTAATACAGCTAAAATTGTGATGTTACTGTGTAAAGTATGAAAAACAAATCTCTTCACTATAATTAGTTTGTTCACAATGCAAATTTCGTTGCTTTTTGAAAATGTTAAAATGGTTGTTTTTTATCAAAATTGAATTTAAATATTGGGGGGGGGGGTGAGAGGGATTGGGGTTGGAGAAGACCCCAAATTGTAAGTATATCTATACATGGTCAACTTGTTTTAAGAATTCTAAAACACTACAAGAGAACAGTTTTCAGACTATACTCTATGTTTTGTATATTTGAGTAGATAAAAGTGATTTCTGTGTTTATTAATGAGCACGTGCGTACTAACCATCAGCTGTTTTTAACAAAGCAAACATAGTGAAAAATAGACCATCATAATTTTGAAAGAACATCTCCTGATTGCTTTACTACGTTTTATAGAACCAAGTCCTACCACCGTCTCACACGCCGCTGGAACCAACACGCGTTGAAGAGAAAACAAGGAACGCGAAACAAACTTCGTTTAACCGAGGTAAAAATAAGTAATTAGTCTGAACAGGCAAGCACTTTTGCCGTCCCCCTACATAAGGTTTTTTTTTCTTTTTTTTGGAAACTTCTGTTCAATGCGTCAATTGTGGTGAAAGCTTGTACAAACAGTCTCTGTGTATACATAAGATATTCAGTCTCTATGTATAAAACTCGGGAAGCTTTTGATAACCACCCAACTCTCACTTGAAACAACACCCCCCCTGTTATAGCCCCTATTACCCATTCTAGTAAAACAAACTGTTAATTTTGAAACAAAACCTGTTAATTTAATTATATTGGCATAGTTTGCTGGTTAATGTAGAGTAGGAAAAAAACCTTAGCGGGACAACGGTAAAAAGAGCTGGCAGACATTCTGCAATAATTTTATAGAAATAAGAGAACAAATCAGACAACAGGAGCACCATGATCGCGAGCAGTCTAATGTCGAGCAGAGATCCCTTTCCCCTCGAGAAGTACCAGAATGACGACAACTTCAGAGGAAAGCCCACCTGCACCATGGTATGAAGCCGTCCTTTCCGACTATTGAAGTTGGAGAGGATTTTTAGTCTTCGAGTGTGTTTCATTTTTTCTTTGTTTTCCTTTCAAAGTCAGGCACACAAATAATCATCGGAATAAAACAATCTTAGATCATAATAAACATTCCAAAAAATTCTCATTGCCGAGAAAAACTCGATCGGAAAATCCATGCAAGCGAGCAGCATTCACCGAGTGCACATGGATCATATCGATTATATGGTCCACTTATGGTCCGTAATTATAAAAATACATAATAATCGATTAAAAATAGATGATAATCCCAAAACTTTTATATCAGAATAAAACATTATAACCGATTTCAACCCAATAAAAATGAGTTATAATTCTAATATTTTTTCTGTCAATTAAGTTAAAAAAAAATCCATTATAATCGATTATAATCAAATTTAATGGATTTTTTCGAAAAATATTCAAGAAATTTAAAATTTTTCTAACAGTTATCTCATTTCCTGTTTGCTCAATTGCTCCGTATTACGTTTCTTAAATTCCTATAGACTGGAGCAAAACCTTTCAAATTTCATAACTCATAAAAATTCCCGTTAAATTTGTTCCATTCCTGGTGTGAAAACAAAACGCCAGAAACATTTTTGTCTGTTTCATGATTTGAAACAGAAAACATTTTGAAATCTGGCATACAGTGGGTGGGCCCCTTACATCATAAGGCTCTTTTCCAGTTTCCCCCCCCCCCCCCTTTCAAAATATCGAGTTTTATATTTGTTTTACGTGTTATTACGGCTAAATGCGTGAAGTTACGCTGTAAAGTATGAAGAACAAATCTGTTCAAAATTGTCGATTTCTTCACCACGCCAAATTTCATTACATTTTGACAACGTTAAATAGACTTTTCAAAATTGAGTTTGAAAGGGGGGGGGGACTGGAAAAGAGCCCATCATAAGAACAAATTCAAACATTTTGTTCCGGCAAAAACCAGTGATTACAACTGAATAATTTTATTTCTTTTTTGAGACATGCAACTTTACCTCAATTTTTCTCGCTCGACTGAGAAAATTATGCAAAACTTTCCAGTTTCCCACCCCCCTCGTAAGATTACAAAACAAAGCTGTTCAAAAATTATTCACACGGCGTTTTTCATGTAAGAAATTTTGTAAAAATTTGTTCACCTGTTCACGCTGACAGGTTTTGATGCAGTTCATAACATGATAAATCATTTTAAATAGACTTTCGTATAATGAATTTCAGAAAAAAACCAAAGAGGGGGGGGGAACTGGAAAAGAGCTGAAATTTTCAATAAGAATGTTGAAAAATAGGGTAATTTTAGATGTCTTTTAAATGTATCAAATTTTTCATAATTTTTTCAGATAACAACTAAATACATCACTATCAAGGGCAAAACGCCATAATTCAGCCATTATAACAAAAAAAAACAAGCTTCGAAAAAAAACATAAAAATTTTTATTTAAAAAACAAGTTTTAAAATGCGAACAAGAAAAACAAATGAATTTACTTTTTACTTTTTTGCAGTTTTTTTAGCAGTTTTTTGCAGATTTTTTAGTCGAAGCTCTTTGTTTGGGAAAAAATTCAAAAATATCAAAAGCATTTATACGCAAAAAATCTAGGTTTTTGCGCTCTAGCTTTTTTATTTTCGAAACTCTAACTTTAAACTTCAAATTTGAAAAACTATTTTTACATGGTCGTAATGCAATGAAAATTGGCATGGTAGGCAAGCTAACTAAAGTTAACATATTTGTATCCATACTTCAAATAAAATCATCACAAATTTAGCCATATTGATACGTAAAACAACTAAGAAAATTGACCTTTGGAGGAGTGCAAAAGAAGCCGTCTTTTGTTCAGATCTTTTCATCAAATCACGCACAAAAACGACACTAAATTGAAACAAAACACCTGTTGTTGTAGTTTTTAAAAAATATGGCCAGATCATTCTACGCTACTTGCCGAGCAACCGGCTGTACTTGGTGTGTGATCAGTTTTTTTTCTGATTTTTCTGACCATTTTTTATCTTCATAGATCAAACAAAAAACTACTTGGCCCTGAGTATCTTGGACTGCCTTACCAACACCCATACACACAAACATAAAGACACACACACACACACACACACACACACACACCGACCCACACACACACACACACACACACACACACACACAAACATACACACACATCGACCCACACACACACCCATACACATCGACCCACACACACACACACACAAGCATACACACACACACACACAAACATGCACAAACACACACATCAACCCACACACACACACACACACACACACACACACACACACACACACACACAAACATACACACACACACACACACACATACATCGACCCACACACATACACACACACAAACGCGCGCGCACACAAACACTCATCGGCATTGCAAATTTATTTCATGTCCATTAAAATCCCCTCCTAACAGCCCCTCAACAGTAACAGTTTTGTATAATGGGATCTATAGTTTATTGGCGGGGGGCTATATCTCGTCTATGGATCTTCCCTGAACAGATATAAGCATCAACTTGCGCTTTTCTTCCCTCCGCCACCAACATTTAAATTCATTTTTGCAAACTATTTTCTATTTTCAACTATTTTTACTATTTCTGAAATATTGAAGAAAAACAACGCGTTCGTTTCTGGGCTATTTACACTTCCCCACATTTAATTTTCAATTTTTGTAAAAATCATTTTCAATTGTCTTAAACTTGGTATGAACTGGACTTGGTTGAACAAATTGAACATTACGAAAAGATTAGTTTTTCAGTCTTAACATCGTAATATTGATCATTGTAATATTGAGTTGTAAAACAATTATCTCCCCCATACCTCCTGCAAGGTTTTACAAGTAAATTTATTGTTCACATTTTCCGATTGTTATAAAAGTTGAAGAGCAGACTAATTAGGCCATGACAAACATATTTAGTCTTCATAGCCAACCTTTTGAAACTACTCATTACACCAAGCAGTTGGTGCCCATATGAGGTGGGGGAGAGAAGCGTGATTTTACTCTGTATGGCATGAAGAAACAGGGGCGGATTAAGGGGGTGGGGCCTTTGTACTATTTTGAGATATCCAGTTTTGGCTGAAAGACCCAAAAAAATGCCTAAACGCTCTTTTTTTTTCTAGCTGCTTTGCCAAAATTTTAGCCAAATCAAAGTCTTGGCTCTTCTTCCCCCCCCCCCCCCCCCCACCTCACACGAGCTTCAATATATTAGTGTAACGAGTGGTTATACGAGATTGAGTATGAAAACCAAATATGTTTGTCGTGGCCTTTTTAGTCCGTATGTAAATTTTCATTACAATCGGGCAATGTGGTCAACAAATTTACATGTAAAAATTTGCAGGTGCGGGGAAAAGGAAAAAGGTCTTTATAGTGCTTAGGGGAGAACTCGGAAACCAATTTGGTCTTCCAAAAAAAATCGACAAAATTACTTAATCCACCCAAATAGTTAGTTTGTTCACAAGTTTTTTAACGTTATGACAATGTAAACTTAGTTATTTAAAATTGAAGTTGAAATGTAGTATGAGGGACCGGAAAAAAGCCGATTCAGGTGTTGTTTGTGTTTTCAGCCTAGGTTGTACAAAGAGGCCACCCATCTGGACCAGCAGAAGGACCCCTGGAACAGACTGAACATGACCCCCACTCTGCAGAGTGTGCGTCGCATGGCCGCCCACCACGACCCCCTGGCCCCCCGGGACGCCCTGGACTTCGAATTGAAGACTAGTTACGACCAACACGGGGACCTGTTCGCCCCTCACAACTACTCTGTCATTCAGAGGGAGACGCTTAAATTGCCTCACTCGTGAGTAACACAGTTTAACATTCGCTGCTACAGTACTGATTTAAATTAACCGGACGAAACGCGTTAAACTTGAAATTTAAAACCCGTTTTTCTCAAATTGGGTTGAGTTTAGGCGAAAACTTATGAAGACAAAACTTGCTTAAAATTTTAGCAGAATTGATATGGTGTAATTTGTTTTGCAAAATTCGGGCCAAAAATTTTACCCCAAAAATGGGTCAATTTGGCTTTTCTTAGTTAATCAAAAATTACGCCGAAAATACTCAGTCGATCACAGACATAATTATATCAAAGTGAGCCCCTTACGTAGCCCAACAAACTTTAAGAAGAGTACAATCTCCAAAATATTGTATAAGTTAATTTATTTCTGTTTGACAGACAAAAAAGGTCGTTTTTTCTATATAAAACACCAACTTTTTATTTAAAAACAATTTTTAAACAATTTGCAATTTTTTTTGAAGAAAATACCCTTCATAGAGTTTGTTGGGCTACTTAAGCGGCTCACTTTGATATAATTATGTCTGTGATCGACTGAGTATTTTCGGCGTAATTTTTGATTAACTAAGAAAAGCCAAATTGACCCATTTTTGGGGTAAAATTTTGGGCCCGAACTTCGCAAACCAAATTACACCATATTAATTCTGCTAACATTTTAAGCAAGTTTTCTCTTCATAAGTTTTCGCCTAAACTCAACCCAATTTGAGAAAAACGGGTTTTAAATTTCAAGTTTAACGCGTTTCGTCCGGTTAATTTAAATCAGCACTGTAATCGTTGAAATTATTATAACGCAATTTGAGGACCTACACGATATAACCAAAACCACCCCCCCCCCCTCCTACGTTAAGTATAAAAAATTTAACCCCCCCCCCCCCCACTAGCTTAGTAGCAAAAAATTATACCCCCCTACCAGCTGAGTGGCAAAAAAATCATAGCTCCCTCCCCCGCCCCCGAGGTTGCCAATTTTCTTTTCAATTGACTCAAACCAATCAATGAGCTTTTATTCAAACTAAAAGTATCTTCATATAGTATATTTAGATATGAACTAAACGCTGCAATTCCTCAAATCCAAATCGTTGATACGTGTTGCTAGCCGGTTATCATGGGAAACAGCTGCTAATTACAAAAACTGAAAAACAAAAATTATTACAAAAAAAACTGATTTGATGATTTAAAAGTTTCGATACCAAAGTTTTTTCTTCTAAGGGCAGCTGAACAAAAAACACCAACTTGGTTTTTAATCCAAGTGTTTTCTTTAGACGAGTGTTGAAAAACAGGGAAAAACCGACCAAACTGGCGCACAACCCCATGTATCCCCCTTTGAAGATTGGGGAGGGGCAGAACAGACGGAGGATGGACCCCAACAACATCAAAGGGGCCATAGTCGGCATCCACACTGAGATTACGAACCCTGGATACTCCCGAAAGACAGACGGAGGCATCTTCACAGCATAGAAAGCCACATACACCAGAGACTAAAAAAATGTAGTAAAATTATTGAAAAAATGGAGGCTTCGACTATACATTGCTCAATAACAAAGACGTATCAGACATCAAGAGGTTCTTCTAGGCGCGGGGTTATATTGTAAAATGTAAAAATCAATTGAACCATCAAATTGGAAAATATTTTAAAACCTAAATTTTACTTTTCAGCAACTGAGTTTATAGGAGTGAAGTCATGTTACTGAAGTTTTTCATAGAAACTGCTCCATGTTTTAAGAGCTTGACAGAGACTAGATTAAATCAAGTTTGAGCGAACTTGAAAGTCAGGTGTCTTCTGGTAATTTAAATAAGAACAAACTTTAGTGTGATCAAGCCGGCGTAGAGTCCTTTCAAAGACTAATATACTGCTCTGGTCACAATTTTTTTTTCTGTATCGCAATTTTGTTTTTCATCAAATTTGAAAAAGTATATAAACAAGGATATCCGGTGGCTTTACAAGTAGAACAAAATGTTCCGATTACATTTTCAAAAAAAAAAACTTTTTTTTTCATTGTTTTCCATCATGTTAGTGTCTTTTTTTTACACACGTCGTACTAAAACTATACAAACTCATAAAATTTTAGTGAATTATGGATAAAAAATCCAATGATCTTAAAAACACAAATTTTTTGCACAATATTTTTCATTATTTTTGAAAGAACTTTTTTTGTCAGAGAAGAGCTAAGTGAAGTTTCCAAAACTAGTTTTCACATTAGTAAAATTGAGTAAAATTGCCTATTTTTCTAATTTTCAAATGTAAAAACGGTTACTCGATCACTTTACTCGCTCGAAATTAGACGACGAAAAATCAAAGGTTTCAAACTGGTTTTTCTCGACACTAGAAAAGTTTTTTGGAAATTTTATAATGTGTTTCGAATCAATTTAGAAAGGCTTCAAAATGATATATCACTTGACCCTGTTTGATGATTGTTTGTGGTATTTGATTTTGCGAGAAAAAAAGTTGAAAAGAAAGAAAAAACATCTGAATACAAAGTTCCTCCCCATTTTCAATGATCGGAACCAAAAGCAATGTTTTGATACGCATAAAATTGGGCCCAAAGTTTTTATCGTTTTGCAGCGTGGTTTTGAGCCAGAAATCTGATTGTATCATGCATTTATTTTTGGGTCATGTTTTTTTTGGCCTCGTAGTTAAATCGAAATTTGGCGCTTATTTATGATTTACATCACAAATGTCTGAAACAGGGGAGGATCTAAAATGTTCTTGAAGCCGGCAGATTATCAAATCAAATTCGAAAACTTTAATTCAAATTTTTGATGTTTGTCTTAACTTGCACTTTAACGAAACCAAGATTATGAATTAAATCGATTTTTGTTGTAAATCGATTTTTTTTCTAAATCGATTTTGTAAATATTTTGGTGATTTTCTAAATAGTTTGAGTCAGTCTAGTAGTCAGAAAACGACCATTCAAATCCATTCAAGAAATCATTCACTTTAACAAAAAAGCAATCGTTTATTATGGAATTTCATGCTGTAAACTGGTGGCGTCCCTCATGCTTGAAGGACCGAATGCTTGAAAATAACTTTAGCTCACTTTCAGCCAATCAGAATTGAGTATTCAAAATCTTGAAGTAAATCGCAAAAACCTCAAAGTAAGAAAACAAATCTAGGCCATTAGTGTTGTTTTGACCGATTAAATAATAAGCAGATGAGTTTTCAAGACTGAAAAATTCTTATGATTTTGAACTCATTAATCTTGATGATTATCTGAATAGCAATGCGGTTGTTACCCGCAATTTGTTATATTTTTGATTATTTTCCACTGATTTAATACATTTTCTGTTAATATTGACTTCGATTTTGTGAGAAAGGCATTTAGCCAATAGAAACGCTTAGCGATTTTGATTGGTTGAAAATTTTCAAGCATTTGGTCCTTCAAGCATGAGAACCCTCCCCCTGTAAATTATCTATGTAAAATTGATTTTTAGTCATTTTCAATTTCCATTTTGTGAAAACGGTTCAATTTAAACAACAGTGAGCTTTCATGTTAAGCTAATGAGCGGTTTATATTATTTGAACTAAAAAAATTCACCGTGCATGTATTGGAAAAACACCCAATCGCTCTATAGCATGGTTTTGCTCAATCATTAGCATGCTTCAAACCAATTAAGAAAAATTTATGTTTGTTTCACCGCCTACGCTACTCGTTGGAGAAAAACTACGATCATCAAGCGCATTATGCCAAATTTCCAGTTGTCAAACCCCGATAACATAACTGACAAAATCACAGGTTGAACTCGTTTTTTTTCATATGAGGAATTCTGAAATTTGCCAGCTTTTCAGCCGAACTCCAGCTTTCAAAACATTAGGCACAAAGTAGGCACAAAGTAGGCACAAAGTAGGCACAAAGTATTTACAAAAATTTTAATGCATCTTATGAAGGGTTATAAGTACTAAATAGTTTGCCTAACTCAGTTTTAAAAGATTTGCTCAAAATATGCTCAATGAAGAAAAATTTCGAGTACACAAATGTGCTAGTTAAAGCATATAAAAAAACGATTTGATTGGTTTAGAAACTCTCTGCGAAAGACCTGTTGTATAGGGGAAAAAACTAGCATGATTTGAATTAGCTCGCGAAAATAAGTTTAAAAAAGAGACTTGGCAAACAAAACTGCAAAAAGATAAACATTAAATTAAACTTTTGGCTAAATCAGCTTAAAAAACGACAAACATTTTTTAATGTCAAATTGCAGACGGAATATTTAATAGAAATTTTTTTTTACGCTATGCAAAATTCAAAGTTATTTTAATTTTATTTAATCGAAAAGGTCGGTACGAATCAACGAGCATAAGTTTTAAAAGCAACATTTAGAAAACTAAAATCACGCTGAAATAATGGTTTCTGAAAAATTTTGCCCCATTAGAAGCAAAAATATAAATTGTTTCAAAATTCGTTGATTAACAAGCTGCCTAGCTCCCATTCTTCTCGGAAACCGAGAATTAAAGTATTCATCTCGCAATTCAAATCCGTTCGGTTTCAAAAATATCTTTTGTTAAAATCCAAAGCTGGATCAGACTTTACGGAGCGACACTTCTATGCTATTCTGAAGTAAAATCACAGACAAAACATGCGGTGCTACACAGTTGTCATCCGGCATGGATAAATAAAACTCCATATAAAACTTCTTATGTTTTTATATATCATTTATGTTTTGATATTATATAACATTAATGTGTACTGGTCGATTGAAATTAATAACAAGGACGAGAACGGCGTCTAAGGAGAACTATGTTTCACAACGTAAATAAACGTTAATATTAACAAGTTGTTTTAACTTCTTATCTCTCAAGCTCGACATTATCTATCTATACAGATTCAAGGATTAACAGTTCATACCTTAAGGACATAGCGGTATGACATGGCTCAGCCATCAGGATTTTCGAAGAACCCACTCAACATAAAACCATTTTGGGAACGAGCATCGGCCAAACCTCCGTTAGAGTGGACAAAATGGGCGGCAATACTGGAAATGGCAGTATTCGCGAAAGACGGCATCGAAATTCGAAATCTCTTTCGAACAAACCACCATTAGTAGAGCCGTCTGAACCAGTATACGAGGTCGAGATAACCGGTGAAACGGAAGCCCAAAAAAAACTGCGAGGTGCGTAATCAAGAAAAAAGAGGGGGTTGGGAAAACCACGTGATAAAAGCGCAAAAAAAATTAGTTCTGTATAATTCATTCAGATGGGATGAAACGGACGCAAAACTGCGCAGCTATCTTTTCTTGTGTCTCGGCGCTGAAAGACTACGCCAAATACAACAAAAAAGACCTAATTTACAGCTACTCACGGTATCTGCGCAACAATTCATGACTGTTTTGGAGGATATATTCGTCACGACACGTATAATAGCTTTCGAGAAGTATAATTTTAATTGTCGAAAACAAAAGAAAACAGAAAATTTTGAACAATTTCATGCTGACTTAGTGGAACTAGATTTCACGGGCCGATTGCGGCGACCGAGAAAGTGAGTGGGTAAGGGATATGTTTACCGCTCACATGAACAACGAAAAGATTGCAGAGGAATTGTTAGCACAAACACGTACCCCACAGGAGGCATACGAATACGCAATTCGACGTGAAAAAGGAATAGAATACAATCGTACAACGAAAGTAAATATGATCGGAGGTCAAACAGTGACCCCAAAACAAGAACCAATACATTATGTTAATACACGTGGCAGACAAAACCAACAGTACAACCAGAACAATCAGCGAGGTCGGGGCGGTTTTAGCGGCCGACCGTATCCACGTGGATCACAAAACACAAGGGGTCAGCAATATCAACAACAACGAAACACAAATTCCAAACAGTGTTTCAAGTGTGGAAATCAATATGGTCAGAATCATCTATAATCTTGTCCGGCAAAAGACAAAATTTGCTCAAAATGCGCAAAACGAGGACACTTTGCAAAAGTTTGTCGTCCTACAAACGTAAATTACCTAGGAAATACAAATGAGGAACAGCAAGAGAAAACAGAAATAGAGAGCACGGAGACGGATACCAACCCGGTCGCATATGCTGAGTTCACCACAAACAATGGTTGGGAGAACTATCAAATAGACGAATTTTCCGTAATGGCAATATCGGAGTCATTCGAAAACAGAAACAAAAAAACAATATCGGAAGACGACTTAAATGGACACATTGTTCAATTGAAGACGAATACTACAGAATTATTTGCGATTGCTGACTCGGGCAGCGTGATGTCTTTTCTAAACGAAAAAAAAACGCTCAACGAATACAACAAAATGATCAAACGGCAGTGTTCAAAAACATCCCCCCGGAGGATACAGCCAGAAATTTAGCATGTTACATCGGTGAATCAAAACATCCTAAAGTAAGGCTAATAGTTACGATTGAGTCGGGAGGATGGAAAATACAAACAGCTCCGTTTCTATATAGTGGACAACCACAAAGCAAATATATAAGGACGGAACCTATTACCACGCATCGGCATTAAACTAATTCAGGTCAAACAAACCCACAGGGTACTCACGGTACAACGAAGCGACGAATCAAACCATGAAATTAAAGAATGTGTCAAGGATAATTTTCAACAATTATCTGTACGAAGAGGAAAGTCAAAACACCACGTAATGAAAACACAATTCAGTAAAGACTTTGAACCGATACAA